CCACCACTCCTTTCTCCCCTGTACATTCTGAACAGCCTGCAGTGAGGAAGCGAAGGGAGCTGACCCATCCTAATTGATCAGCATTGAACTCCGATTTATTGATCCAGCATGCACACTTTTATAATCGTGTTAATTAAGTTCATACATATTGCAAAACCCGAGCTCATTATTGGCTACAGATTACACACCAACCCCTCCTCTTGTTTTCAATACCTGTGGTTTCTTATTGAGACCAAAACTTGTTTTTCTCATCCTGTTATTGACTGTTCTCAAGGCCTCCATGTTTGTCATCCTGCTTTCCCATCACTATCAAGCACCATTCAAGGACAAGGTATTTACTTGTTATTAAAAAACAAGCCTGAGAACTTTGCTGTTTACAGGAACAAGCCTGAGAACTTGCTGCTTACAGCTGCCTTTTACTTTTTAACCAGCTGTATGTGATTATGGCATGTCTGAACAAAACTCTATAAGCCATGTCTGAACAAAATTCTCCAACACTGCAGCCATCCACAGCTGTACTACAGAAAGTTATTTCATGGGATTCATCCCACCAACTTTCAGTAATGGCAGCAAGATCATAACTTTCTAGCAGCACAGTGGCTTCCAACTCCAGCTTATTGCCCATGGTGTGAGGATTGGTATAAAGGCACCTCAGCTGGACTGTCAGCAGTGCCGCCTTCTTAGAGGTGCACCCCTTAATTCTTTTGAGATACTTCCTGGTGTTTCTCTGTTGGCTCCTCTCACCTCAGGAGTCTCTGGCTCATCTCTGTAAGACAGCAGGTGCGCTCCAGCACAGTTCAGACTCTGAGGGCCCTTGCCAGCACCCTGTCCCTCTAACCTTTGCCTCTCATCCTACAGCTTGCCAGGGACAAGACTGATACTGTCCCCCTCTCCCATCAGGTCTAGTTTAAAGCTCTGCCAGTGAGCCCTGCTAGCTCCCAAACAGTCTCTCCTCCTTTGCTGAGGAAAGTGAGTCCCATCTGATGTCAGCACAACCAGTGCTATGTGGGCCTTTCCATTTTTAAAAATTAGCTCAGTTGGTTAGAGCATAGTGCTGATAACACTATGGTCAAGGTTTGATCCCCATACAGGCCATTTGCCTAAGAGCTGGACTCAATTATACTTTTGAGTACCTTTCTAGTCAGAATATCCTCTGTGATTTTGTGTATTCTGTGCTCCCCAAACAGACTGGACTTTGTAAACTGTCAGTGTCACAGCAGATTTCCCATAAGCATGATCATGGCTTGACCTTTGTGCTTCTGGGGTCTTCCTAACCTAAGAATCTACACAAATTTCAATGGCAATTACTTTCCAGTAATGCCCACAATTATGCTGTTATGTACAGGTGGTATTGCTCTGCCAGTGCAATCAGGCCAAGTACCCATCTTTACCTCTGCCCACAATCCATTCTGTCCAGCCCATGGGCACAGCAACAAGAGGAAAAAAATATCAGTGTCTGAGAATCTGGACTGCCACCAACCCTGGAATTGTTTTAACCCCTCAGGGAAATCCCAAGGGCCTTGCTCTGGAAGCATATACCATAGAGTCTCCACCTTGGCTGAAAGAAAAGGCTTCCCCATGGAGCCTTGCAACACTGATCCACCTCAGTTTGCCTTCCCCATATGTCCCAAATTCTCATAGTTTCTCCTTTCTCTGTTTCCTCATTGGCTGTGGTATCCCTAGTGGCCAGCCTTGTCTTCTCTGTAGGCCAATGCCCTTTATCCTGCCCCTTGTGCTGCCCCTGTGCCCTCAGACCACTGACCCCTACTTAACCTTGTGCACACCACATGGCCTAGTCTTTTGTGGCTGATTTCCCCTTTGGGATGCTGGAATAAACCTTAGCTGGAACTTATCATACAAAAGGCCCTTCTGCTTCTCTTCACTGAGCTAGCCATGGTAAGTGTGGTGTGTGGACTTGACTTCTTTGTCTGAATGTCTACCCAAGCAGCTTTTCCACAGGAGATGCTTATTGGGAAATAGGTAGCAGCATCCAGCACCTAAATCCCCACGCAGCTGCAACCAACTACTCCATATCTCTCTCCCAAGGCAGGATCAGCAGTCCAGGTCCTACACAAATGCCTACAGCTTCTCCAATTGCTCCTTAAATATCTGTCTTCATGAAGAGATAGAGATACTGACCCTCCACAGTCTACTCCTGTTTCCTGCACCTACCCTCTCCTAATGCCTGACTCTTTGCACACTTCCTTCTACATACTTGCATCACATTCATATCTATTTCACACTGGTTTTTAAGGCTACGTTTCTTTCTCCATACATGCCTTTTGTTTTTTCCAATTGTTGGTAATCCTCATCAGTACACACTGAAGGAAAGGATTTCTTCCTGTCTTAAAGGATTTTTTCAGAATGATTTTGGGTTTTTTCTTTTTAATGAGGTGATAGCTTATTGTATTATATTTGGCTCCTGATCCACACTAGTCCTTCATTCTTGTACTAGAACTTCTCCTTTCCTAGTTATTCTGCATTTGGCACTGTCAATAATAACTATACAGATTCAATACACTGTTCTTGGTTTTGGTTCTTGGCTTTTTTTTCATAATTCAGCCAACCACCTTTGAATTTCAGACTTCTTTCTCAAGGTATCCACAAATATTCCAAGACTTTATCAGTAACTTTTAGTGTGCGCTGCTAAGCAATTAACAGAAGGTGACCCAAGAAGGACTCTACTGAAGTCCACTTTGTACCTTTTTCTTATTTTATAATGGATCATCTAGGACAGCTCAGGAACAGCTATTCAAACAATTTTACATAAATCCACAGACAGAACTTCTATCAAAAACAGATTTTCTAGCACTTTCATATTACTGTCCTGTCAAACCATGCTAAAATGCTTATGTGTCAAAATCTAACAGTTCAATTTCTTCTATAGTCACATGGACAGAAAATACCCCGTTGCAGAAAAAAACTAAATTAGGTAGACACAACTTGTTTTTAACCAACACCTACTCATCTCCTCACTACATACTGGAAGTTTACAAACAGGTTTTTATGGTTTCTGAGTTTGTGACATGGAAGTCACCTCCTTCAAACTGCAGTCTTTCTCAGCTTGCACTGTGACAGCCTGGAGCACAGCAATACAAGACATTGCCAACCAACCTCTTGATGGAGTTTCTGCCTTGTAAGTTTGGTGCAAAATGTGGATCTCTGTGTGTTACACAAGAAAGTAATTCCTCTATCTCTGGAACAGAAGCATGTGAAATTCCTTCCATGTGTAAGGAGCTCCAGATGCTGTAGCTGGTACAAACTACAGGAAAAGCAAATCCAGAACCTGAGCACTGCTTAGATTTCCTTCCTGGGTAAATTGTCTATTATTTTAACAATAGCTTGTCTCAGAGGCCTGGCTTTTTTACCTGACCATCTTTCGCACAGTTAGTAGAAAATTACCTGCAAGGCTCTTGCCTTTGTCAGATTTGGACAAAATAAGCATGGAGCTCTGAAGCTGTCAGGGAAGTGTAGTGGTATGATGATGTTCCTCTTGTCTCCATGGGAAACCATGTCCATAAATTCCACATAAGAGCAGACTGAGTGACACAACAATGTATGAACCAACCCACCAGCTGTTTTTGAATTTTTAGCAGCAACAGACATTAATTCTGAGTGAGTAACATTCTTGAATTACAGCTATGCTTTCACACAACAGTTATTTCTAGCTTGATTATAATTGCTTATGAGGACCATGAATGTCTCAAAAATGGTCTTTTAAATGATGTGAGAGGAACCATGGTAAAAGGGAAGCAGGAGGGGAAGGGAGGTGCAAGGCTACCATGTAGCCACAACCTCACTCCCTTAAATTCAAAGTGCAATCTTATGTAACACTGAAGATCCCCACTTTGTTCTCCCAGATGTACACACTCTGACCCAGTTTTGTCTATTTGTGGAAATACAGGCCACTCATTTTTAACCATTTATTGCTACTTGTCTTCATTGATTCACAGGCTTGCAGTTTTCAAATAGTTTACTAGTTGCAAAAAACTGTTTGATACACAAAGAAATCATTATCTCACTGATTAATGATCTTCTATCTAATGCAGTCTCCCCCATCCTCACTGAGTCAGAATTGCTGATAACTGTAAGGAAACAATTATCCTTTTATTTTAAGGCATTATACTGGCAGCTACATTCTTCTCCATAAACACGATGCCTGAAAAAGGAAACAATATTTGCTCCAAATACAGTTTAATGTTGCAAAGTATTACATGTTTTCCACAAACATTTAGTATACAGACTTGAATGGAGACGGAAGAAACCCCCAATCCTACACCAGTCCTTACACAGTACTTCTTGAGTTGTTAATGACTGCAAATTGGGTGTTTGCTACCACTGAAAACTAACCATCCTTTTGTAAAAAAACCTAAGTTCAACATTCAAGGAATGATGGGTATCACATGTCAATATTTACAATACACTCAACACAGTATTACATCCCACTAAATAGACTAAAATACCAACTGAAACTAAACACCAGGAACTACTCACCTCTTGCTGGCAGGGGAAGAAAACATTCTGGGCATTTAAAACCTGCAGGTGCATATAAATCACTTTATACTGCAATGTAATACAGTTCCTTGTGCATTCTCTATCAATCTGTACAATCCAGTGCACAAACCCTTCTGTATGTCAACCATATACTTGAGTACTAATATAATTGTGTAGGTGCAATCTGTAAAATTGTGAATCTTGTAAAAATGGTATGTTTTTTATTTTTTAAAATAAGTGTAGTTATATAGTTTCAGTTATATATGCTAATACTAATTAAATGTAAAGTGTGATAGCTAAATCGGAAAGTGGTGAGCTGCTGCTACAGAAAAATACTCCAACCAATTCTACAGTGAAACTTTGAACAACACATTGTGGCCTTTGTTCACAAAATCTCCCATAAAGGCTAGATAATAAAAATACGGAAGGTTATTCTTGGCCTGTTATCTGCATTTATTTACTTCTTCAATAGCTGAATGCCCTACAGAGATTTTTTTTAAATTACAAAATTACTTCTTTGTGAGTAGTCAGACTCTGCAGAGTACAAGACAGCAACTGACAGCAGATTAACTAGAGCCCTTTGAGTCAGAGGTTGCTTTCAAGCAAAATATTAAGTAGAAAGGCTCCAATTTTTTGAATAGTACGCTATGTCTGCAGTTATTAGGTTCTCAAGCAATACTGAAAACAACTCACTTACCATAACTTAATAATTTAGCAAACACTATCAAAAAAGTCTTACTCAAAGTAGGACCATGTTAGGCATCAGAAAACTTAGCTGGGTTCCAGCCAGCACCCTACCTGTATAAGGATCTAATAATAGAACTTTTAATACCTGAGAAGTGTTTGAAGCTGAGCATTCTGCAATTGGGGGAGAGGAAGGAAAAGGAAAAAATAGCTGTGTTTCAAAGAGTAACAAACATCACTACATACATTTTTATAAATAGATTTCATACAAAAATTGTATCACCATGTGTCAAAAAAAGATGTTTCAAATCTACTACCAAGTGGTATAAATATGAACTGTTCCATTAGAAAAATTTTATGCTGCTCTTATGATTTTGCAGTCATCTGACAGTAGTCTACTCATCTATTTTGAAGGTCTCATGAAAAAACATCTTATCTCCCACTAACAATTTGCTTCAAGAGTAAGCATACACCTTACTTCTTGCTTTCCAAGCATAAATTTTAATACAAAAGTTTTAAAGGTTTCAAAATGCTTGAAAATTAATTCAGCCCAAAGTTCTTGCTAAAAGTAACTTTCATAAAGATGACACAGTATAGAGTTCATTTTTACATTGATAAAAAACAAAACATAAGACATGTAAACAAAAGAGAAAATCATATTTCATGGTCTAATGCTAAAAAAGGAAATAACACATTAATAGAAATGTACATTCAAAGCCTTAACCCACTTAGAATTTTGATATCAGAGTTCTGAGGAAAGTGAGTAGACCCTTTTTTCTCCAAAACTGCAGCTATTAGCAGCTACAATTGTTCATACTTGAAAAACATGCCTAACTTTGCACCATTTTTTTAAACAGGCCTTATATTAATTGCTTGCAAGAACTATAGCCATTCCTGAACCTCAACACTAATAATGTTAAAACTAAATGGACCTAGACACCCCTTATCTTTACAAAATGGACTGAAAAAACCTGGAAAATCTCAATCTTTTGCAAGAATGCAAGATTCAATATTACATCTCACAGCTCACTGAAATCTAGGTCTTCAGCTTGGTTTTTAAGCAGTTATCTACTTTTTTCCTAAGTATAACTAGCAGAGCTCTGGACTATTTTTGACATCACTTGGAATGCATTGGTGAGAAGTCAGCTCTTAAATTAGATGTGCAGCTAGGCATCTAGGAGTTTTTATAGTTTAATCACACTGTCAGTCAATGCTGACCTGAGATCATACTGAAGGTAATTTTCACACTTCTGTGAGCACTTCAATGCCAAATTCAAGACCAAATACATGTCTCAAGAGGTAGAGAGGGATTCTGTGACATTTCTGCAAGAAAATATGCAGCATACAAGTATTCACAGTACAGTGGAAATACAATAAAATCCTCAAACTACTACATAGTTTTAGGGACTTCTGTTAGCTCCCTGTGCATTTACACTGCCTAATTGCACTTACATAGTAATCCAGCTGCAAACACTCATCTCCTGCTGTACTTGAGGAAGCAACCATGTATTCTGTGATCCAAAGTGATGCACAGCCTGGGTTCCACACAGCCTGGGTACACCAGGCTGGGAATAGCATGGGCTTCGAGCACACTCTTGTGGCCATGTGTAAGTGCAGCAAAATCAGAGCTAAGAAGGACACAGGATGGCACGTAGGCATCTTGGACTGCCTTCTTTCGCAAAGGAAGTTACAAAAGAAGTGGATCAAGCACCAAAGGTGACCTACTACAAAAAGATCATTCTTTGACCCTGGTATTTGAAAAGAGCTTTTATCAAGAGAAATGCTACATCAAAAACACAGTGCAAAAAACAAAGAAGCCATTTTGTTACTTTAGTGTTCAAGTGCCCCCATGTTCCTGCTTCCTCTCTCTTCTTCAGAGAGGAATGAACACACTTCCCTCCTCTTCCTATGACACTTGAAGTACTGCCTATCTTAGGAAGAAAAGAAAATACAACACTAGTAATTTATCATTATATAAATATTCTCTGTGCTGGAATATAAGTTGAAAATCCATCCCCATTCCATGGCCTCCAAGTTCATGTAATCTTCACAGATGTTCTTTTGTGTGCGCAGAGGAGCGTGACGTAGGGAACTCCAATGAACGCCCACCTTTCACTGGGCCAGAACTTTATGACAGGGCCCTGCTCCGGGATCTCAGAGGCAGCATCAAAGTAAGCAAAGCAGACACATCCTAGATATGCCGCAAGGCAAATCAAAATGTGCCTGAGAATAGCCACCCACACACCAAGACAGGACAAAAAAAAGGAAAGAAAAAAATAATCAGTAACATAAATTCAGTAAAGTAATCAACTGTATCACCATACTTTAAAATCAGTCAGTCCTTCAGCATCTTCTCACAAGCCCCACATAGGATTGTTGTCTGTCCTTTGCATGGAGGCAAAGAATATTTGGAAAGGAAAACCACAAAACTGTAGTTTATCCCTGGTCTAAACGGGCTCCAATTTTTTGGCTTCTCTTCACCTGTCATATTTGTGCAGAAATGCTGAGATATGGCACCTCAAGTAAGTAACCATGATTTGCTGGGTGGTAAAAGAGAAAAGGCATCAAAGCCCTTTACTGCTTCTCCACTTCACCATCATTAATTAATCACTAATCCTCATTCATCATGAGGATTACCATCATCATCTATGGCAGTTTAAGTTTTCATAGTCACAGCTATGGTTTTTGGTAACCAGTATCCAGTATGGCAAGGAATTCAGTTACAATTAATGAACACAGTGGCTTAAGAATACAACCAGGCCTAAATCTGCCACCCTGAATAGCATAAGACTTGTTCTGGGCTTATAAAATCTTACTATATATTCTGTCTAGAGGTAACCAGAAATAGCCACAAGCAGCACAGAAGGGTAATGTGGTGAGAATGGATCATATTTGAATCAAATTCTGGACTTTATACACGCCACTTACCATACACAGTGCAAATAGGGAAAGTTAAATGAGGACCAGATCTCACAAAACGCTTTGTCACTGATCCAGCAGAAAAGAGCAAGCATCCACCAAAGACCTGAAAAGAGACCCAGTTTGTATACACGCAGGTTTTCACACCTAAGGAGAAAAACATACATAAATATTTATAAAACAATGTCAGACATGCATCATTAAAATGATTCCACCATAAATGTACTTAAATATTATCTTCATTTACAGTCTGGCTCTGATGCAAGGCAGAGATGAGGTAACAAAACAAGCCTTTTTATCAGTGGCTGTGTTTTAAGACACATTATTGTCTTAAATACCAGTGTATCAATGGTCAGCAAACATCAAATTATTCCTATACCTAGGAAGGGGTGTAACTAGTGATTAGTTACATATACTGTTCATTAACCACCAGCTATGCAGCAAATGCTCAGATTTGCTCGTATTTGTTACTGTATAAAGACTTCTGTTAATGCTAAGGCATTTATATTCTTCAGTGAGAGGTACTACTGTTCCCAACAGCATTAAACCATGAACCTAAGCAGATAGGCACATGAATCAATTTTGTTTTTCTGATGGATAAAACTAGACTACTGAGATGGAGTATTTGTGTGCTCTGACAAAGGAAAGGGTGTGTGTATTGAGAATGAGGGTTTCCTGGACATATCTGAAGGAGATAAACACATGCAACTGCATCCCTTTTAAGAGGGTTTGAGGGTTAAGAGGGATAAGAGGTTTGGCCTCAAACTTAACGTCTTTTAGTCAGGACCTGACTACCTGAATTCCAAGAGGAAAAGGCAATTAACCTGTGTGGTTCAAAGAATTCAAGGCTGCAAAGGAAAACTAGAGACTTACCCAGTACAAGATCAGCCATAGCAAAGGTACAGACTGTAAAGACAGGTTTGCTCAGTGCCACTATCACATACTACAAATTACTTTTATAAACTTAAGACAATATTGTAGAGTGCTCTGCAAAAGACTACCTTAAGGTGGAAAGATCATAACGAGAAGAGCACAGCCTGCTGATCTCTGTAATACCCCCGGGTTTTCTGAGATCACCCATCATGGAGTTTTCAGTTTCTGCAGTAACTGTGCTTCTGATGGTTGAGGACATGCTTGCTGACGAAGCAGGAGACTGCTTCTACTACAATGAAGAGACGTAATGCAAATACCAACTGGACATGTAGCCTTTCTTTTATTTCTCAACAGACATGGATACTGATAAGAACTAAAATAGGACTTGTTAGCCGAGGGTCTAAAAGACATATTCATGCTGCCCTGATCCTATCCTACTCTATTCTGAAAGATAATGGATCCCACAAATCTTCTGCTTCCATTTCCCTTTCATCTACACTGCACAATGTTCTCTGCCTAACAAAACAGTTATTCAAATTTCAGTATTTCTGCAAACATTTGTGAGATCCAGCAGCATTATCTTCTGATATCTTGAAACCCGCAAAAAAACATTACAGCTTTTATTCAAACCAGTGCAATGTTGATTAATTGAATTTTACAGATATCTCCCTTTCCACCCTAAGGAATATTTAAACTTTTAACTAGCTTAACCTTTTAGTCAAGGGAATAAAGAAACCAGCAGTAATGAAGCAAGGCTCCCCCAGAGTCAGATTTCTAGTAGAAGAATCAAATAATAATGGTCAGACCAGAAGCTACGGTAAACCTTCACTACTCAAGGCTCAGAAGTCAGCTAAGCAACAATATTCTAGCAACCATCTGCACATAGAGGACATTATCTCCCTAAACAGTTACTAATTTGATGACATTATAATCTCAATGGCTCAGACTAGGCAAATCAAAGGATACACATCCACCTTTCCACTGATTTCACCTTCTAGTACAGCTTTTTCTTTTTAGATACACAGGAAGGAACTTGTTGTGACAGAAATGAGAATAAAGTTTAACAATTTCTTTGTCTTTCAAGGACACCTGACCACCTTTCACCCTTTTGATCACCTCCTACCCACAATACTTCCCAGCCAGATACTCGACCTTACCAGGTCCACATCTAAGAACTTAATGCTCTTTTGTGACAATGTTATCTTCTCATCAAAGACAAACATAAAGCAAAAAAAATTCATTTGGAAACTCAGTAGTTTTGATTCCCCAGAATTCTGTACAAAATTGATACAGCCTAGAATAGGAATAACAACAAGGAGTTGTGGCCTAAAATACCAAACACTTCAGCATGGAACAGAAGCAATTTTTCTTCCCCAAATATCTATTTCACAGAAAAATTTCCACTGCAGCCTGCCAGACTTGGATGTGAAGTTCCCTCCTGGCTATGGTAGCACAGAATGGAAAAATAGCAAATCTTTTCAATAATGGTTAGATTCATTTTCCTCCTGCAGAAGGGGATGAGATGACTCCTTACCTCCCAGTTTACAAGAACGTAACCCTTTAAATTTCAAAAGGATCAGCATAGCTTAAAAGAAAAGTTTTATTTGTCTTTTGCACTTAAAAATTCATCCACAAATATCAGTAGTATTAAACCATTCCAATGCACAGACAGAGAAGGTCCTATGTCACTTCTGGCCCCTTTTTATTCACCAATTGGAAAAGAAGGTCAATCTCTGTCCTTAATTTTCTCCCTGAAAAAAACGTGACCAGGAAACTCCAGACATTTTAGTAATATATGACTGTCCTGGGGTGGCTTTGTGATGCTAGATTTCCTCCCAAACCAGGACAATGACCCTGCAGAAAGAGTTTTAAAAAAACAAATACTTATAGGCATACCAATTCCTAGATGTGAAACAACAGTACTCAAACTTAGGAGACACTAACTTGTCCTTTCAAGTTTCTCAGGAGCTCATGCCTGGAAAACTGATACGGAACTGACAGAGAATTCACAGATTATCCCATGCCACAGCCAGATGTCCCTTTGCCCTGTCAGTAGTTCTTTGTGCCATCATCAAAATGAGACACCACCAATATTGTTCCACTACTGACCTTGTCCACAACTAACTTGTGCGCTGTTTCCAAGTGTCTTTTACCAAAGAAATACACAGAAGGATGCCCAAAGAGAAACAACTCATGAACACCTTTACAAAACATTGTTTGGAGAGGCTTCCATTCTATAGCAGTGGCAGATCATTACAGGGTAATGTAGCAAACAGAAGTCTCTATTCTAACAGACACAATTAGAATGAAGACATTTTGTTCTAACTCATTTTGATGGACATATGCAACATATAAGAGCAAGCGTAAGTTGTAAAATTTTTCTCAGACAGTGGAGAAGAGGTGAAAAAAACCAAGTTCAAATGCTAGTACTCCTCTGGTCCTTTTTGCAGTGGGTGAAGAGATGGAAAAAAGGGCCCTGGACAGCTGCTGGTATCACTATAACAGAACAACTCTCTAAAATGTGGAAATCAGTCTCAGGTTCTTCTCTATTTGCATTCTGGTTTTATGATTTCTACAGCCTTGACTGACACCTATCCTCCAAAATGTAGTGATTAACCTTCTCTTTGTAACTCTGACTCCATCACATTATTCATATCAGATGAGACTCGCTTTGGGAGTTGGAACATCTTCCACATGTGCTTGGGCCTTTCTCCCACTAGCATCCAAACTGCAACCATGCCACCACCTCACCCTTATGCACACTATATAGTACAAATGCTGTTGATAAAACAAAACCCAGGCCCTAATTTCACAATGAATAAACAAATTTGAGTTAAATCAGGTTGCAGCAAGAGGTATGTTGCAAGAACACACAGAAAATATCTGACCTACTACGAAGTCCTAGGGAAAAGAAATCCTTGTCAAAAAATGTCTGAACTGCCAAGAAAATTTATACTAGAGTTGTGGTAGAAGCATTTCTGATCTGCTGTGACATGCACTGAAGCCAGATATAGTGTATCACCTCACAGTGTCCTAAGGATCTGAGAAGGCAATGCTGCCTGCATTCTGGAGAACTGCACTTACCTCTTCAACTCAGCAATGAGCAAAGCTGTGCAGGGAACTCCCAGCGTCATTAGTGAGATGTTGTTAATGGCAGGCTTAATGAAAGCCAGGCAGGTGGTAACTCCAGACAGGACACCCACAGCAGCTTTAAATCGGCCCCTGAGTAGAGTTTATATGAGCAGAAAAACTTCTTTTAATTCAAAACTTTAAATTACGAAACCCAGAAATTTCAACATTATTAAAATAAGGTACCAAAATTGAGGTCTACCCCTGTACAAAGCACTGTACTTCTTTGAAAATGTTCTGTCTCATCATTCCTCAGGCTCTTAACATGGATTTTTAGGGTATTTTCTTATTGTTAATGCCTCAACTTCTACAGCTATGTCAAAGTACGCTGAACTTTCCTTTATCTCTTTAGAGCCTTCAAAGATACTGAAACTCACATGCTAAATTGGAACACTTCCTTAATCAAATTCAACAGTAGGTGAGAAATTCCCAGAATTTTTTATAAAACCAAGATTTGGTATATTCTTAGCAAACATGAAATCACTATTGCACCCTATGTAGACAGCCCGACAACTTTTAAATTAAATATATGTTAACTGTTGTTTAAACTCCAGATCTGCATTTCAAACAACCCACTTCCAGTCTATGGCTGAAAAAGAGGCCTTTTAACTATTGGCTCATAGCTTTTTAAAATTGCTGTCCAAGGATGGCCTTCTATATTTGAAGTAGGGTCTCAATATATTTGTATGGTACCATTCCATGGCCACAAGTGCTAGGCTCATTTCATTTGCCTTTTGCTTTAAAGGTTTTCATTCTGCTGGAAAGCAACAAGTTATTTAAGTAGGAAGTTCTGATATGACGTGAATGTCTCAATGAATAAATACATCACAAATTGATCATGATAGATAATAACATTTTCAGCAGTGAAAATTCAAAGTGTGATGAGGATTATCAAAGTGAACGGTACAGCGGTGAGCACACAATACACATAATACTAAAGGATTAGTCAGGCAAAGCAAAAAACTTGAAAGTATTAACCAAACCTGTTCTAGGTTAGGGCTTTGTCTTGGGTTACAATGTAAGGTATGCATTCTATCACCACCAATAGCATCTTCTGGTGAGCTGTTAATGGTCAGTTGTTTCCAACAGCTGCTCAATGCACACTCAGCCTAAAGCAGAGTCATCTCCGCTCATGGGCCATCAAGAACTCCCCAGAATGTGCCACAGAATTACATCATCCCACTGTGAGATATCCACCCTGGGGGGAGGCACCTAACATTCTTACCTGTATATAATCTGAGACCTGGGCACCATGATACCACCAGAGGATTCCCAGTGGACAAGAGCTCTCAATGACCACCACTGGACCTCCAAAGAAGAACAAGACCTTTCTACAGGATCACCGCTTCGACAAGATCACATCCCTCACTCCACATCACTGTCACCACCCTGACCAACGGGGTCATATTCTGACTTAGTCCGTTTAAGCCAGTGCTTCTGTAATATTGCCTTTATTGCACATTTTTCCTATTAAATTGTAATTCTTACTTGGAATCCCTCACAACATGTTTGTGTGGAGTTAATTCCTTTGGCTGGTTTGCCTTCAAACTAGCACAGGTTTGTTGCCCAGAGTGTCTTCATACTTCAGAAAGGATTCAAGACCTTCCCTAGAAAGTAACTGTTTTGACACATTCTCTGAGAAGTGAAAGGATATGATAGGATCTTTCATATCAGTATTTACAGTTTTAACACAAAGTTAAACAGAAACAGTATTTTACCCCAAAAGTGTTGTTATTCTTTACAAACCAATAGTTTACCATCCTTGTCCATACTGTGAACCTATCCTGCAATATCAGAAGATAATTGGCAAAATGTAACCTCTAGGAATCTGAGAGCTCATTTACAGAGTTTACACAAATTACACATAAATTTAGGACTCTGAATTCTTCACTTGAACTGAACATCTGAGAGTCACACCATAAACAAAGACACCACTAAAGCTTGTTAAGTTGATGATGTTCTGTAACAACATTATACTGTAATATGCAGAAGGACTAAATTTACACCAATGCAAAAAAGCCATATAGAATCATAGAAGATGCTGAGTTGGAAGGCACCCAGGAGGATAACACCTCCAATTCCTAGCCCTGCACAGCACCATCCCCAAGAGTCCCACCATATGCCTGAGAGCGCTGTCCAAATGCTTCTTGAACTGTCAGGTTGGTGCTGTGACCACTTCCCTGGGGAGCTGTTCCAGTGCCCAACCACACTCTTTGGGTGAAAAACCTTTTCCTGATATTCCACCTAAACCTCCCCTGATTCAACTTCAGGACATTCCCTCAGGTCCTGTCACTGGTCACCACAGAACGGAGACTGGCTCTTGCCCCTTCTCCTGCCCTCACTAAGGTGTTGAAGACTACAGCGAAGTCTCCCCTCAATCTTGTCTTCACCAAACTGAGCAGACCAAGTGACCTCAGCCACTTCTCACACAGCTTCCCCTCAAGGCCCTCCACTATCCTTGTTACCTCCTTTGGATGCTCTCCAATATTTTAATGTTTTTCTTATATTGCAGGTGCCCAAACCAGCCCCCAGCACTGGAGGTGAGGCTGCCCCAGCTCAGAGCAAAGCAGGACAATCCCCTCCCTTGCCCAGCTGTGATGCTGTGCCTGATGCACCCCAGGACAGGGCTGGCCCTCCTGGCTGCCAGGGCACTGCTGACCCATGTTCAACTTGCCAGGACCCCCAGGTCCCTTTCCATGGCCCTGCTTACAGCACCTCATTCCCAGTCAGTCCATACATTCAGGATTGCCCCATCTCAGAATCCAGCAATTTCTCTTGATGAACTTCACCTGGTTGGTGATTGCTGTCATTTGTTGAGGCCTCTCTGCCCTCACGGAATTTAACAGCTCCTCCCAATTTGGTGTGGTCATGAAACTTACTTAGTATTCCTTCCAGTCTTGTGTCAAAGTCCAAGTCATTTATGATGATGTTGAAGAGAAGTGGGCCATGCACATAGGCTGTATACAGTAATTATAGGTACACTGTACCCAGTGCAAGCTATTTTGAGGTATGGTCAGTCTAGGCACCAAACTTCTCTCCATGCATTAGCAACTTCTAATCTGGCATATTGTCAAGAATAAACCAACCAACCAAAACCCCCAACAATCAAACAAACAAATAAAAAATTCATGCAGAGAGTAACACTGTAAGAATGCAAAAGGCAACAGTCTTAGCAATCTTCAGAGAGAACAACACATGTTGCAAACCAAGCCTCTCCATTACCTCAACTTCTTTACTGCATAAAAGAGGAACACAATGGTTTTATTGTGGAGGGGGGCAAACCACAATCAAATGGTTTAAACTGGCTATAAAGTATTTTTTTATACCTGCAAGAAAAAGAAAAAAAACCCCTTTACAACAATAGATTTCTAAAGAAACACTTAGCCTTTGAATACCGAAACACCATTTTTAATCACCATTTTAAAAATTCAGATGAACATTCAGCCGACTTCCATAGGTTCACTTGTATATATCCTTCAGGATATACAAAAGGAAGAGTAAAGGATGGCTTCTCCTACATCAGCTGTAGTTATATACACTACCCATCATAAAATTCTCCCTAGAATCAACAAGAAGAGACATTTCCAGAGGCAAGTCATCTCATCTAATCACCTGAAGTTACAGGGGACAAATCCCACTGCCAGCAACTGCTGACTCAGGAATTTTGAACAAAATGGGCTGAATGAGATACAAGCAACTGCAAGACAATGGAGAGAGAAAAATAGCAGTGACAGTGGTAAGATTGATAACTTGGTGCAATTATGTGCAGATTTAAGTGTTAGCACAGGAAGTTTCAAAAAACATAAAAGTGCATATGTACCATTGTATGATTACCTGTCATTGCGAAAAACTCTGGGCAGGTATCTCCTAGGGAACCACATGGCAAGAGCACACATCAGAACCCAGAGAATAGCCAGCTCATCCAGCATCTGGCCCAAGAAACTGAGGGTAGCATGAAAATAAACAGATCCAATTCCTGGACGAATGAATCAAGAGACAATATTATGAACAGCTGCAGTACTGGAATAGACTCAAACACCCTGCTCACGTTCAGAAGTCACAGGAAATGGTAGCTACAGGAAATGGTCTACAAAAGGTTACAAAAAACATCAACTTTACTAAGAGGCAATCCAAGCTATCATACTCTTGCTAATCATGAAGAAAAAGTACATTACAAAAGTAGATTACAAAAGTAGCAGCTAAAAATGTAAGCTCCTACTAGAAAAGATGTGCCTGAAGAAACACCATGTGGAAAAGTATAAAGCAAAACCAATTAAAAAATAAATGCCAAATGCTGCTTTGGAATTTTCTCAATAGCACAAGAATGGGTAAGAAAAGAGAAAAAGCAGCAGCATCATGGATACTCTCTACCCATGATACTGATTTACATACAGGTGGAAAGTGTCACACTACCCCAGAGGGCTCAGATTATCCCCTTGAAGTGCCTCCAGGAATGAACAAAATTCAGAATCTCACATCTACATCTCTGGGCCTTCTCAGTACAAACCCTATTCCTCTCCTAAGTTGCACTAGCACTTCAGCTTTTATTTAAGCAATGAAAACCCAAACACAAGAAAAAAAAAGTATTCAAGGAAGGACTGGAAGGGAAAAAAACTATTGTCAAATTTCCCATCAACCTCAGTTTGCAAAAGGCATTTTCCCTCCAGAAATTATGGCTGCTTTGGCTTTAAGCAAATACAAGCAAATTCTTCCATAGATGTCAGGACTGCTTTGTTTTAAAAAACAGTCAAGTACAAGCAGGAAAAACTGATGTCCTCTCTCAGTTTACACATGAGTTAGCAAATACAGAGTAATCAACTTACCAACCACGACTAGCAGAATCCATATTAAATATATTCCACTGTTGAAGCAGATTGCGTATTGACGGAACAAGCACATACATATGGGTGGTAAAATGAAAAACAAGATGTTGCTTATCTAGGAAAAAAAACCAAACAGTCTCACAAAGACAGAAAATAAACAAATCTTAAATATCTTTAGGCTTTCTATAATACCATTTTGTCATTCAGTGAAGCCCCAGTCCAACAAATTATGACCCACTGTTTCTGCCTAAGCTGAGCTGTTTTTGCAAAAACATTGATTTGTTTTGTTTAACATCATTAAATTAGTAGCAGTATAAAAACTTTCAGCAATGTAAGATTTGGCTCTTCAAGTCACAACTCAAGTCAATTCCCAAAGGAGTTTCATTGAGAATATACATTCAAGACTGTGTACAAGATCAAGCTATTGAGGACCAGTGACCTGTCCTCTCACTGGCTATCAAGCCTAGCATGGAAAAAGCACTAGAAGTACTGACACAAGACAGAGCTAGACAAGCTTTGTGGAAGTCAATTTATTGAGCAATAGTTATTGTCTGGGAAGGTCTGAAATACAACGCTAGGCTAAGAGTTAGAACCCTTTTTGTACAGGGTAAAGAGTGCCTGGAGCTTTAAGTCCTTTTACACTTCAATTTTTTTTCCCATGGTTCTACACTACAGAACATGACTGAAAACTAGTTATAGGAAGGTGCAAAGGCTATAATTAGGACGACTGCTAGGTGGTCTAACTTTTTAATTCAATATGCTTAATTTGAATAGAGACATGGTTTTTGTTTTTTCTTGCTTACAAACAATCTAAAGCATGATTCTGTAAATACTGGAAACAGTTTACTATCAATTAGCAGGAACTGTCATTGTAGTAGTGATCACTTGGTTCTTCCCAGGAGCTGCTAGTGCAGAGAGCCAGCCATGGCACAGTAATGGAGCAGTTATGAAAAGACTCTATTGCTGCTTCACAATGGGCCAAAGGACAGGAGGAGTCTCCAGACTCAGCTTTCTCATGTTTGCCTGCTGAGCCCAAGCACAACAGAATATCACCTGTGACAAAACTGCTCTGAAGCTGATGTAGAAAATAACTCTCGGTCAAAAAAAATCCTTTGGGACAGATTGCCTCTTCACAGGTTACAAACTTGTGCCAACAATAATGAAAATTTAGTGGAGAACTAGTTAAAGAATAACATCGCAATTTTTTCATTCACCTACTGTTGTCAACCTCTTAACACAGTCTGAGGAAGGATTTTAAGAGGCAGATCAAGTTGTTTAAACTCATGTAAAGCAACCTACACATTCAACAAAACAGGTTCACGTGAGAAACTTTCATACACAAAACACCCCACTCAGTCTCCATGCAGCAGAGACTGCCAGCAAAGTTGGGAATACCATCATGGACCAGGATCCCAGTGCATGATGTCCTGGCACATACACAGAACAGGAAGACTTCCCTCACTCCAAAGCAGGTAGGAAGCATATACAGTGACAGCAGGAATGATGGAATATGAATGAGTCCTCTGGGGGCCTGGGAGTGCCCTATGCTTTTTAGGCTTTTACACACAGTTAGGCTGAAGGGAGGTGTCAAGGGGCAAAAATAGGTGGTTATAAACCAAGTGGTTTGGAAGAAAACTTTTCCATCTCTACAGCTGAAACTGACCACAGTCTATCAAAATTTGGCTAGAAAGTCATTATTCCAACTAGGAACAAGATGATAAAGGACACACTAGATATACTCACCACAAGTGTAGCAATGTAGATTTATGCAAGTGATTAGCCAACAAGGGAGCAGTTCTGTGCTATGGTAGTGCTCCTCTGGGAATGAACTCCCACTCATGCTAAGGTCCTGCCTGCAAATGCAAGAAATCCCTTGCAAACTGGAGCCTGAGCATGACTTGTACACTTTGTAGTGGTCATCAGGAGGATTTCCTAACATCTCAGAAGCTGATATAATTGTAGTACTAAAAAATATTAAAGTGTGGCTTCAGAAAGTACACTGCATGAGCATTTTTTAATATTAATACATAACTGGCCTCCATGATTTGGTAATGTACAATTCAAATACTTTGATAATTACAGTAAGTGCAAAAATTTACATCAGTAGTTCAGAAGATTTCCTTTGGCATCTGCAAAAGGCAATGATTAGACGTTACAGTTATGAAAAATAGGCAAGGAGTCCTGCAGTAACAGTGCATTCTTTGGCTTCATACAATTCTGGACCTTTAGTTTTAATTTTCAGCTAATTAATTACATAATAGAAATTCAGGACATAAGCCTCTAGGACAGAGAGAAAAGGCTTGCTTAGATCATGATCATACAACTTCACTCACATCTGGCCACTGTCTTAACACAGATGTTCCCTGCAGTCCTCATGTATTTGTCACTATTGATTACATCTCCCAGAGAACAGCTGCAGAATTAAACTACCACAGAAAAACCTACTGCACCATGTCCTTCTGAGCAGAAAGCAAGACTGGACTAAAGTAGCTGCCAGTAACATCAGAGGGTGTGTATTCTCCACATCCTGGTACCTAAACATGACATTCACATACACTGAAACTCTTCTGTGGTAAAAAAAAGATGCGGTGGGGAGAGTACAAATACTCTCTCACACTCTTAAGACTATCTCATAACTTTTTACAACTTTTATTTCCATGCCATCGGGGAGCAAAAGAAGAAGAATAAAACCCTCGCAATTCCCTCAGTAAATGGAAATTACAAGCACAACTAAATGCAACATATTGAATTGCTAGATACTGACTCTCCCAGGAAAAAATACTGTTTTCAGGTATTTAAGACAAGCAATATCTTTTATTTTGTAAATACCTCTTCACAGACAAAATTGTTTTGATCATTTGGAGACTTTTGTTATGGTGTGGAGTAGGGTTACACTGCATCAGAACACATTGCTTTATTCATTTCAGAAAGAAAAAAAAAGAAAAAATGTACTGTTTTTATAACTATTCCTTCAATTTGAGCTACAGAGTGTTTTGTGGCCTCACTTCAGCTAGACAAAAATCATGTTAAGTCTAGTTTGTGTATGTTTAAAAAAATTAGTTTGATCAATTTATACAAAACTTCCAAACAGTTTTCTCCTACAGATTTAATTCAGTTGAATGCTTTTTGTTTTCTGTTTAAGCCCCACCAGAATACATAATTAATTTTTTAAAAAATACATAAGCAGCAGATAAGCTGCTCCAGTTTGTGCTTACATGAATGTTGCATGAGACCTCAACCACAACTCTGACCTCAGCCATGGCAATTTAAAATGCAGATTAGCAAAGTTTTAATCTAAAGCTTAATGACCCAGATGCCAGAGTCAGGTCTGCTGAAGAGAGCTTTGAGGAAGTTTAAATCAGTCAGAACAAACCCACCCTAGAAGGAATATAATTTAGGTACTTTTAAGGTACTTTTTAGAGTAGGGCCAAAACTTCATAACTGTCCTGTAAGCATCTGGTTTTTTGAGGACACAGTTGCACAATCCCATCAATCCAATGCAACTCACTGTTTTAATTAGCAGAAGTTGATAACAGAGAAATCAAGCCATAACAATAACTTGTATTGCTGAAGAGAGTCTAAACATGACTACTCTCAACACTGCCTCTTGTTCTCCTCCTCCTTCACGAACAGCTTACTGATTTGTACACAGCTGTCACAACACAGCAGGCTCCAGGGCAAACTTTCTTCTGTGTCTGTCCACCTGTCTGAAGCCTCAGTTATTCATCTGGACACAAGCGCAGCTTCTAGTATTTTGGTAAGCTTCCATACTACTGCTTGTCAGCTCAGTCCAGTGTTGTGATTTAATCCCGTCCAGCAACTAAACACTGCCCAGCTGCTTGTTCACTCCCTTCAGCACAGGATGGAGAAAATCAGAAGGGTAAATGTGAAAAAACTTGTGGGGGGTTGAGATAAGAACAGTCCAATAGGGAAAATATAAGCTTCTCACAAAAGCAAAGTGAAATAAGGAATTCATTCAGCACTTCCCATGGACAGGCAGGTGTTCTCCATCCCCAGCAAAGCAGGGCCCCTATCACACATAACAGTGATTTGGGAAGAGAAATGGCCTAAAGGCACAAACTGCTTCCTTCTCCTTCTTCCAGCTCTACATGCTGATCATGATGCCATATGGCCTGAAAAATCCACCAAGTCAGTTGGAATCAGCTGTCCCAGCTGTGTCCCCTCCAAATGCTTTCTGCACCCCCAGCCCACTTGCTGGTTGGGTGAGACGAGGAGCAGAAAAGGCCTGAGTAAGCCCTGCTTAGAAGTAATGAAAACATGCCTGAGTTACCAACCCTCTTTCCAGCACAAAACATACCCCCATACCAGGGCCTATAAGGAAAATTCACTCTACCCCAGACTGAAGCAGCGCATACAGTAGAAGGAAACCCATCCCCCTGCATAGCTGGCTACAAAACACATTTGCTGTCTTCAATATCTTGTTTATCCTGACCTTTTCCTCCCTTTGTTTTTGGTTCTTGCACAGTGACATCAGACACACAAAAAAAGCCAACAGTTTCCCTCACACACCCTCAAAATTCTTCAGTGGCATGGACCAGCCACCATCTTTGGGACTTTGGCAGCTAAGAACAAGAAGAAAACAAGTTAGCAATGTACACAGTGCACCATGAAATTAATTACTTGCTCTGCATGTACAGAGCCTCCCGGGATACACACTCCATCCAGGGAAGCCAGACACCTATTTCTTCCACTCTGTTCTGGCAGTCAAAGACACGTGGCTTGAAAGGGGAACAGACTTCAGACAAGGATGGAATTTGGGGGAAAAAAAAAAAAACAAAACCAAAAACCTGCTCACTTTAAAGTACAAGAGACAAAGGCAGAAGCTCCAGCTCCTCATTTGTGCACATACTGCCTCCTATAGAACAGAAAACAGACAGCATTTGCATGTTTGCCCCTGGACAGGTGATTCTCATGGAAGGGCAAACCACCCAAAAGCCCAATGGATTATCTTATTCTAGTGGATCTTTCATTGCCATTCTTTACATCAACAGGATGTCAGGAGCACTTCTCCCTTTCTAAGGTATATGGTAAAGGGCAATCTGGCTCTGCTGTTCCGGCTGTTTTTATAAGTTCTCTACAGCAGCTGAGAGGTATTGGGAATGTGTGAGAGGACTCAGGGGTAAACTATGACTAACTGGAAAGAAGCAACAATGACATTATTCCTCTTTCCTCTCTTCCATACTTCAGTTGCTCTCTGAAACAGGTATCTCTGTTGCTTCCAAAAATCCACTCCTGACTTCATCCTGCAACCTAAAGGCAAACTCTCCATGAAACCTTTGCCTTCTTGGAGTCAAACATGTCTGGGAGAAACCCAGTTTTGCCTCCAAACACCAAGGTACTTTTTAATCTTGACCCATCACTGCTGTGCATGCCCATCAAGGTGCTGACACCTGTTTGCGTGAACGGGTGATAGACCAGGGCAATCTAGCACCAAAAACTTGGTGCTTGGCCACCACAAGTCTCGACAGAGACGAGGACAGGCCTGCTACACACTACTTACTGGCAGCAGCATGACTAGAAAATCTCCCTGTTTTATACCTGAGAAACTAGGAAAAATTTCCTTAATTTTACGCATGCCAGCGACCGGAGAAAAAAAAGAAGTCGAAAGCCATAGAAGGGCATGCTACAATCCCACGAAAACTCCGCAGGAGACGAAGCTGGCAGGCAGCAGGAGCGCCCCGGGCTGCAGCGGGTCCTGCCCGCCGCCGCACGCTCGCCCACCCGCAGCCCCCGCCGCCGAGGCGGCCGCCGCTCCCGCTCCGCCGGGCACCGCCGCCGCCACCCACCGTGTTGTAGAACTCGGCGATGGCAGGCACGATGGTGTAGTTGTCCTCACACCAGTCCACCTCCGAGCTGCCGGCCCGCAGCGGGTCCCACCACAGCAGCGCGCCCATCGCGCCCGCCGGACCGCTGCTCCGGCCCTGCCCTGCAGCGCCGTGCCCGGCAGCGCCGCGGGGCGGTGACCGCGCTGCCGCCCGCGCCTCTCTCCGCCGCCCGCGCAAGGGGCGGGGCGGGGCGGGGCGGGGCGGGGCGGGCCCGGGCCGGCCCTACGCGGGCAGAGGCGGCGGGGCTCCGTTCCGCTTGGGTTTCCGGGGCCTGTGCCGAAGGTGCCGGCCGGTGCGAGCGGTAGTTCCTCGCTCCCCGGCGGCTTTGAGCAGCCAGCTGCTCCACAGGCGTGGGCAGCGTGCCCGCCGCCCTTGCACGCCTAGAGATATCTCACACAGAATCACAGAATTGTTATGTGTGGAATGGATCTCTGGAGAGGATCCAGTCCAACCTCTCTCCCAAGGCAGGGTCACCTAAAGCAGGTGACACAGGAACACGTCCAGGTGGGTTTTGAGTGTCTCCAAAGAGGGAGACTCCACAACCTCCCCAGGCAGCTGTTCCAGTGCTCTGCCACCCTCAGTGTAAAGAAATTCTTCATGTTAACGTGAAACTACCCGTGTTTTAGTTTAGGGACATTATGCAGTGCCACGGGGCACTACTGCAATTTGTCTGGCGCCATCTTCTTGCCACCCACATTTGAGATTTTCCTATGTATTGATGAGATCCTATTTGTCTTCTCCAGACCAAACAGTCCCAGCTCCCAGAGTCTCTCCACCTAAGAGAGATGCTCCAGACCCCTGATCATCCTTGTGGCCCTCCGCAGTAGCTCCTTGTCTCTTTCGTGCTGCGGAGGCCAGAACTGGACAAAGGACACCGTGTCAGTTCCAGGCGTGTGATGGAGAGGAGCGGCCGCTCCCCGCACGACCCTGCTCCCGTGCGCAGGAAGTGCGGGACACGGCCGGCAGGGAACCGGGAAGCCCATCTGGGCGGGAGGCGCTAATACCGCGCAAAAAACGCGCCTTCCCCGAAAGCCGGTGAGTCGCGTATTGATGGCGATTCTTTTTACAGGTGCCAGTGCTCCCAGCCCCGGAGCGCCTGCGTGCTGTCCCCCTGGCCGCTCCTAGGGAACGCTTTCTCCCTGGCGAGCGGCGCCTCACGGAGCAGGTGACAGGCCCGGGCCTGGCCCAGGCAGGAGCCAATTGCCCGAAGTCGGGCGCGCGGCAGCGCCGGGGCCTGGCCACGCCCCCGCCCGCTCCTCTTGGCCCCGCCCCTCGTCGTAAAAGCCTCGCTCGGCATTGGTCAACTCCGACACGTAGGGCGCGGGCGGGACTGCTCTCGCGAGAGTTTCTGGGTGTATGTAAGAAGTGTGGGCGAGCTTGCGGCCTTTTCTCGCGGCCTTGAGACGTGAGCAAGATGAAGGTGAGGCCGCACCGGGCCGGGGCCGCGCTCGGGCAGGGGGGCTTGGGCTCCCCCGCTGTAAATGGTGGCGGCGCTGCCCTCAGAGCCGCTCTTGGTGGCCGATGGTCCCTGGCGGCGGGGCTGGAGTGCAGCTGCCGGGCGGATGGGAGTGGATTGCTTGCGGGCCCTGTTTCCTCGGCCGGGGCTCGGCTGCCGCGGGGTTGCGGAGCGCCGGGCTTCCGGAGCAGCCGCTTGGCTCGGAAGGGGTTCTGCGGGTGAGAGGCCTGTGCAGGCGACTGCAGGGCCCGGTAGGGAGGTGCCGTGCGCGCACATGTGCCCGCGGCAGTGGCGGCTGTGCAGCGCTGCGCTCTGCGGCGGCCCCCAGGAGGCACGAGTGGTCCCCGCAGCAGGTGCTGCTGGTCCCTTGCAGTGACTTGCTGTTGTGTCTTAATGTGGCGTGTGCTGTGAGGGGCTTGTAGGAAGAAGGGAGCGCAGGTTTCTGCTGGTCGCATTCTCTGATCTACCTCTAGCTGAAATAAAATCAGTTGCGACTGAAGGAGATGTATAGTCCAGTGCGGCCGAACCTGGACCTCTTTGCCTTGGCTCTCCCAAGTGTGGTGATGACAGGTTTTTCTGGTGAGCATTTGTGTAAGCAGATGGGGAATCTCAGCTTTGAAATGCCAAGCTCTAACCATCAGGTGAATTATAATTTTTGTTAAAACCTTTCTGAGAAGTTTCAACCAGATTTTTTTTTTTGTTTTTTTTCCTTTGTTAGCTCAACATCTCTTTTCCAGCTACTGGCTGCCAAAAGCTCATTGAAGTGGATGATGAGCGTAAGCTCAGGACATTTTATGAAAAACGAATGGCCACGGAGGTGCTGGCTGATTCCCTTGGTGAGGAGTGGAAGGTAAGTAGTGCAGAAGAATGTGTAAGAGTTGTGTTTGAGGAGCTTGAAGTACAAAATTTCTCCAGTATGCACTTGTCAGCTATAGTATGTGTATGGTGTGCATTTGGTGGTCAAGTTGAGAGGTTCTCTTGCTGTGTGTGTACTGGCCTTGCTGCTTAGGCTAGCCTCTTCCAGTATTTTACCTTAATGGGAGGGGGGGTTTGTTTTTAAAACCTTGTGGTTAGTTTCTTCTCTCTCACAGCTCCTCTTCACAGTAGCTTATTGTTCTTCGTTGGAGTGCTGTCTCTTGGTATTCAGGACAGGTTAAATCTGCAGTATAAAACTGCTGGTTGTTAAGAATTGACTTTGTTTAAACTGCTGCTAACGTGTGAGAAAAAAAACATGTTTGGCCTGGTGGATGAACTAGGTTCATATTAGTGCTAATATGGACTGCACAGCTGAACTTAAAGGATGTGATCTTTTCTGCTGCCATCTTCACAAGGAAAGTGGTCAAACTTTTTTCTTGTATATCACTACACTAGACACTGCTGTGTTTTGAGTTTGTGACGATAACTGGCTTTATTTAAGCCTACAGTTGCAGAAAAGCTAAATAATGGTAAGAGGTTTTGTGCTACTACTTTCCAACAAAGCTTCAAAGTGATATGAATCACACTAACTGTAAGTTCTGGTATGCAGAGGTATTTTTTGACATTTTTAGAGTAAAATTGCTGAGCTGTTCAGAGATGCTGGTTAAAGTTGCATGCACTACTGGTAGCAGTGTCTCCAGCTGAATCATGGACATGCTGCTCCGTTGTTCCGTGCGGTCTCCTGTGGTATCTACTGCTTGAGGGAATAAGGACGTGAGTAACTCAGAAGTGTTCCTGTTGCAGGGGTACGTTGTCCGGATAAGCGGTGGCAATGACAAGCAAGGCTTCCCCATGAAGCAGGGTGTCCTGACCCATGGGCGTGTCCGCCTTCTGCTCAGCAAGGGCCACTCCTGCTACCGCCCCCGGAGAACCGGCGAGAGGAAGCGCAAGTCTGTCCGTGGCTGCATCGTTGATGCGAACCTGAGTGTCCTGAACTTGGTCATAGTGAAAAAGGGTAAGAGTCTGAGTGGAACAGCCAGTACAGAGGTAGACATAGACACCTGGAAGGAGCCTGCTTGATAGTGGTTGGTAAGCTGTGTGGAGTGGAAATGACAGTCCCAGTTTCAGAGCACAAATGCATCTTAGCAGTCCTGAGAGCATTGCATTCTTGTAATGGTAAAACTGGTTACTGAAGCATTTCTTGTTGCTGCAGAAATCCGATCATGTCAAAGGAGCTAAGAGTGGCTGGGGTGGTGCTATTGACAGCTGAACCCCAAAGATTACCTAGCATTACTTTGAATTCTTGTGTATTTTAAACGCAGGGTTTTGCTTCTGAACCCGGTGCTGAGTAGTGTAGTAATTGGCGTGTTTAAACTTACATTCCCAAAGGTGAAAAGGACATTCCTGGGCTGACTGACACAACTGTGCCCCGTCGTCTTGGTCCCAAGAGGGCCAGCAGGATCCGCAAGCTGTTCAACCTCTCTAAGGAGGATGATGTTCGCCAGTACGTTGTGAGGAAGCCTCTGAACAAAGAGGGTAAGAGCTCCCACTGGTACAGCTCCTCGGGTTTCTGTGATTCCTGCCGAGCTGGCCAGCCCACTGCACTGGACAAAGCACAGGTGGTAGTGCATCTGGGAAGTTGACACTCACTATATTTAAACTTTGTCAGCCATAGCTTGTGGAAAAAACCCAGTTTCTTGGTTGCCTCATTTCCTTCACCCTTCTGCTATGTTTTGTCATGGTTCTCTAATGTTTGATAGACTCTTTCGCTAGTGTTTCTCATTATAACCCAAGAGTAGTTGCTAATGAAAGAAAGTTTAGTACAAGGTGGAATGTTATTTAAACTTCTGTAGTGGGGGGGAAGGCAGTGTAGTGCTAAGTTTTTTTTTCTCCCTCTGCTCATTCCAGACCGTCTGAAATGAGGTCTTATTGGCAGGGCCTTGCTTTCCTTACTGCCTGTATTGCAGTGTAAGATTTTAATTTTGGGGTTTTTGCTTTTGATCGGGGGGGAAAAAGTGGATTTTTAGAAGAATATGATTAGACTTGTGTACTGTGAAAGTTTGTGGGGGAAAGGAAAACATCATAGGAAATGGTTTTATCGATTAAAGAATATGATCCTGGTGGGCATCAGACTGGTGTATGACTGTTAGTCTGTCAGGATGGCTTAGTCAAATTGTATTTAAAGATATGTGTGGTAGTGTGTTTGCCCGTTGTGGGCAGTTAATCTGTTTTCTGGGGTAAAAAGTGTCAAACCCCTAAGTAAAATTGTAGATGTCTTTTTAGTGCTGGAAACAAGGCTTGTTCTGAAAGCTATATAATGGAGTCCTTTATTATTAAAAAATCTAGGTCTAGGAGGGAGTTAAAGGACACAGGTCTGTTGAGAAGCTAGGAATTCTCACTTCATGTCTAATAACAAATCCACGAGCATTAAGACAGTATATTGTTAATGCTGTGTCTGGTGATAATTGATAATTTTTCTTGTAAAATTTGTGAAGGTGCTGACCTTTGTATAGTTGCTGTCATATGTACTACTCTACATCATGTTATTGTAATAGTAAATCAGAGTTACTCTAAAGTTGTCTGGATGAGGCATGTGGCCCCTTTGGAAGGTTCTGTGCCACTTTGGCTGATCCCCAGTGGTTTTTAGGCAAGAAG